CTCGTAATTACGGCACCTGCCTTCCCTTCCTCGTGGACCGTCGTCAGGACCAGAATAGCATCTGTGCAGAAACCGTGAGGGCCACACGGCGCGGGGTGAACGAGTGGCTGGCTCATTCCTTAAAAACGGATTCCAGACCTTTCGCCGCGTTCAGAGGCCCGGGGTTCAGCCATGGGGGACTTTGCCTGGACGCTCAGCATGGAGAGGGGCGAATGCGTCCGACAGTGGTCGCCCTCCAGCAGCTCCTCTCTGGTGGGCGCCATTCGTGTACTGACGCCCGAGTGACGCCCGAGAGGACTTGGGACACCTCGCCGGGACCCGAGGCTTTCGCGTCGGCTCTTCTCAAAATAGTGATCAAAGAGAACAGTCATTTTATTAAAGCACTTTTCACTTTGAAAAGGGCACTTCAGTGCATTTGCACAGCTATCTGTGCACAGTCGAGAGAGCTCTTCACATCGCGTTAAGGACGTGGTTAATGTTTAGATAATGTAAGTACGGGTGAAAAGCTGTGCCTGTGCTTCGTAAATTTTAGTTTTTGTATCTTAAAAAATAATAATTTCCCTTTTATTCTATTCCGAGTGTGCGTACAGAGGTGGATTTGGGTGTGTGTGACACACACACATACATCCTGCATTCGTATCCCAGATTAGAACGAGAGTTCAAACTGCCACATAAGTTTTAGAAAAAAACACACACAATAGTTTCCACCTTAGGAGCATTTTAAAGAAAAATTAAGTATAAGGGAAAAAACCCTTCTTATTAAATTAAATTGTGGTGTAACAGCTCACCACATCCTGTCGCAGGGGCATCTGACGCGAAGCGAAGCAAAGGTTCCTCTTTCGGGTCTCTGACGAGCCGTGAGGGTCACATGTTACCTGCCGTTCAAAATACTCCTATGAAGAAAAAAACCTTGGTGTCGGTGGAAAAGCTGAATAAGAAGTGGAAACTGTCAGCAGAGAGAAGACACTGTGGGAAAGCGTAGGTGTCATCGACACAACCATATCAAAGAGAGAAACCCACCCCGAGAATAACCCACGCAGAGCCCCGGTGCCTGTGGACTGGTGTGGACTCGGAACATGACCTCATGGAAGAGGAATCGGAAGTCGGGGCCGGGAGGGGAGTGGGCTGAGAGGGTCCCACGTTTTCACTCTCAGCCAAGCCCTCAAATTAGCGCTTGGCCCTAGTCAGCCCTTCCGTGATGTCTTCTTCGTCCCTCTGTGGAGTGGGAACCGTCATGGCCTCCTCACTGGGTGACAGCGCGGACAGTGCCTGTGGAAGGGAGTGGACCTTTACGGTTGTCCGTCCCCGGCTGTGTAGACAGTCGTGTGGGACGTTGTCTGCTCTGAAGTGTGTGGTCGTCCATCGTGGCTTCCTGTCAGCCGCTGCCCGACCCGCTCCGTCCCACAGAGAACTCAAGGAAGACCCTAGAGCATGTTCGCGTGTGTGTGACGGTTCCTGAGTGAGTTCCCAAGATTTCTGAAACATTATGACCCCAGCCTGGCCTTGCTGGACGTGGACAGCAGTGGGACCCGATGACCAGCACTTCTCGCCAGCGCGTCGTTGGGATGGAGGTAGAGCCAGCTGCTCATCAGAAACCAGAACAGCGTGAAGGTGGCCTGGGAGCTGTGTGCGCCCGGTGGCCCTTCCAGCTCTCCCGTCCTCCCGCCAGCCCAGTGGGGTCAGAGAGAGGGGTCGGGCGCCAGTCGCGAAGTAGCCACGTGGCGGGACCTCAGGGCCCCGGATGGCTCGGTGACTTCCCCACTCCCACGCAGCACAGGCGCCCCCTCAGGCTCAGGCGCCCCCGTGGGCAGTCGGGGAAGCCCACTTCTGAAGCTCCTTCCCCTTTTATCTTGTCAAACAGATGTTATTTTCCTGTCATCTGCATAACCTTGAGGAACCGGTGACTCTCTGTTGCTTTGCTCACCGCCTTCCCCCCTTTACCCACCATGAGTAATGCGCAGGGCCCCCCGTCACGGCCGTCTGAAACCTCGCAGTCCCCATCATCGTCCCTCATCCGGCCTCTCCGACCACCCAGGCGCTGGTCCTGCGGGAACCAGGTATCTGCTCTGGGACTCCCGTTATTCCCGTTACCCTCGGTAAGGGAATGAGAGCTTGAAGCCATCTCGGTGTAGTATGGTGGAAGATTCCATCACGTTCTCAGGCGGGGTCCTGTGTCCGCCCGTCCCATCCATGATACTCCCTCTGCTTTGAGGTGACATGGCTGACTTTGCGCCCTGGATTATGGGGCCCGTCTGGCACCCACTCACACTTCCCCAACAGCTCCTGCTGCCCAGGGCGAAGGACACCGGCCCAGGAGCCCAGACTTGGCCATGGCTGGCCCCAGACTTGTCGCTTCCCCTGGACACGGCTTCGGAAGGCCTGCCGTGCCCGGCCTGCCATCGGTGTTCGGAACAGCCGAGACGGACGCCGTGAGAGCCGTCTGCGACCTGAGCGGTGCTCGACCAGTAAACGGGGGTGCCGTGGCGTGTCCGTACTGCGCGGCTTGTCTGTCACCTCACCAGGGGACTGGTCTTTCCACACACACGCTCTGTCTCCCCGTCTGTGCGACTCGCTTTGCTTGGCGTGAGCCGCCCTCACCGCAGCCTGTCCCTCAGCAAGACAAGACCCTAAAGAAACTCCGGGGTTCCCATTTTTCTGTCAAACGTTCTTTGCGATGGCAGCGCTCTGCAAAGTATAAGTTGGATGTGTGCCTCT